TCAGCAGCTGTCCCAAGAGGTGAAGCAGCGGACTTAGCGAGATTAGTCTGTTGCCCCGATCAAAGAGGAGCTAGAACAGCCCTTACTTAATCTACGATAATCGATAAGAAAATCACTGCTGAAAGCTAGGGAGCGAGTTTAGCCTATTTGACTGGTTGAATTAAACATTCTCTCCTCGGGTTAATGACTTCTGCTTAGTGAATCCCCTTGTGAAAGGATGAATGAACTCCTCCCTTGACGTGTACTAATTAGTAGGGCTGGCACGTCACTCGTCTCCTCTCATCTTACCGTTCCGTGGGTCCTTAGGGTGAACCTTTTTTCATTACAGGTTGAGGAAGCCTAACTACGAGTCTGTTTGAAAGCTAACTGAATGCCTATCTGCTGTTACTTCTCTCGTTGCCGTGTGACAGTATGAGTAGCCAGTGCCCTTGAGTTATTCTCTTCGGTATCGCCTTCTCTCATCGTTAAAGGCGCCGCAAGGCACTCGACTAGAAGGAGTGGATGTTAGGCACGCAGGGAAGACTCTGACTATGCGCTGGCACCTGCCCTGGGCATGGATTCTTCTTTGATTGAAGGAACGGGACAGAAGAGAACCAGAACCATATCCTTCACACATTCAGTCTGATCTTATCTGCGCTATTGCCCGATCATAGCTGTACTGTATGAAATTAGTTCTCCGTCTCCCCTGCCCTGTTAGAACTGTCAGGTCTGTAACAACAGAACCAGAAAGGAAGCCATTCCTAATAGGAAGTTTCTAGCCGTCTTTCTTGAGGAGCGAGAAAAGTGACTAATAGCCAAACTGCTCCCACTATGAATCTGAGAAAAGTCTAGACTTTCTTCTTTCGACCCTTCTTTTTAGAGATTATAGAATCACTGTCAGAGCATTGACATCGAAAGCCAATGAACATAGGCTTAGCGTCTTCCACTGAATTTCCGAGTAATCCCTGGGCTTACCCATGTGCAAACTCTTAGGAATCGATCTAGATGCTTTGACTAGTGGGATAACTTGAATAGTAAGGGATATGCGCAATCAACACAAATCGGATTCGAGAACAAGAACAGCAGATTCCATGTCATCCTCTTCTACTAGTGATTAATGTGCGAAAACAGCCTCTTCGGGAACTCACACATCCGATTATTGATTCATGTGCTATATGCTTAAAATATTCAAATCGTAGCGTCAAGAAACTAAGCAAGGGCTTGTCCCTTCACCGCCCTGCCTTCCCTCCGAGTTGACTTTACTGGAGTAGCTCCTGGACTTGCTTTGTTGACTGGACTAGCCATTGGAGGGAAAAAAATGCCCATTTGTCGGCTTGAGGCAGACTCTTTCCTTATTTTATTGCCGACAACAGCTTCTTCTTTCAAAGAGCCGATTCGTGAGCACAGACGATTTGATAACAGAGGATTTCCTTGACTCATTCTAAGGGTATAGAAGGGGATCCTCGGTGTCAAAGAGACGAAGAGTTCGCCGGTCGGGCTTACTTATTCTGTAGGCGGGTTGCCTCTTCTTAGTAGACCCTTTTTGAATAGAATCCCCGTATGTTTAGGAAAGGAAAGACGAATAGCTTCAAAGCTTCCTTGGGGTGATAACAGAAGAGAATCTTGGCTACTCACCTCCTAGCTTCCCGTCCTAATGGACTACGAGGACCCTAGGACTTAGGACTCTTAGAAAGAAGGATGACCGTCTTGCGTACCGTACTGGCTTACCATTATAAAGAACAGACTGGCTGACTTCCAACACAGGAGGACCCGCGGGCAAGAAAGATCCTTCTCCTGACCGGCATCCTATTCTATATTGCCCAACCTTCTGCCGTAGACGATAACACTTCTGGCGTAGAATCCGTTTCCGTCTTATGATAGGATGCTCTCCCTACCCCTAAGAGTCTGGGTCCGCTATCGTTGAATCTCCTGCTGTCGGAGACGTCTCCTTATCTGCTGTTGCTGAGTCGAATGATGTAGCCCATGGGCTTTTCCTGAATGTTGAAATTACGGTATGAGAGGAAGAGTGAGAGGAGTGAGAACTAGGGGGGGTTGGTCTCAAAAGAGTCCTCGCCGGCGAATGGAACTCAAGACCGGCGGCATCCGCTAGAGCCAAAAATGGGCATTTAGGTTCTGTTTGGGGAGTCGGAGTTTCAAACTAAGAGGCCGAAACAGGGTCTTTCTATTGCCTCAGGGGCTGAAAAAGACGAAGGAGAGGGCTACCTAGGAGCTTCAGTATAAGAGTGAAAACTATCAGAGAAAGATGCCACTAGTCTTGATTTTAGGTCTTTCCTTTATGCTTTATGTAAATGAAAAGGCAGAGTGCGTTCCTGCCGACAGAGTAGTTGAAGGGTTGAAGAAAGGGCTGCTTCCACGCTTCGAAGCTTAAAGACTGAAAGTTACTCGCTTATATAAGAGTTAACTTATAGAAGAACCAGAGGTGAGGGGAAATTTCCTAGTCTAACTAGAATAGTGGGTGGCACCGGCCCTGATTGCTTTCATTTCGTAGCTGGAAGCGTGGCACATTCGTGACTTTTTGGTAAGCAGAAGAGTCAGAGTGATCCTCTACAGGAGTTTTCCCTTACCATAATAGTCAGGGAACTAGGAAGAGGAGTACGCCCAGAACTATCAGGATAAGGCCGAATCCCCCTAAGGTTTAGAATAGCGATCCTGTAGCTAAGGAAGCCTTGAGGAGGAAGATGTCGCCGATATTGAATTCCTTCCCCTAAGGCTAAGGCTGTCACTGAATGAATCTGGTAACTAATGCCGCCAGAGAGGCTGAGGTGAGTACCCCCGCATCGCCTCATTCTAGGGAGTTGGTTACAATCTCCAAAGAAGAGCTTGAGAGTATCCGGCGTCTAATGGCTCAGCTTGAGGGTCCTACCACTACCTCCACCTCCACATTTGCTCACTCAGGTACCTCTGCATCAGCCTACAATGCCTCTCTCACTTCCTTCAGCCCATCCTGGATCATTGATTCAGGAGCTACTGATCATATGACTGGTATGTCATCCATGTTTTCATCAAAAAATTTTCTTCTGGTAGAGACAAAGTTAGGATTGATGATGGATCCCTTTCTTCTGTATCGGGAAAGGGCACTGTTACCGTTAATGTCTCTCCATCTATTTCATTAGAATCTGTTCTTCATGTTCCTAACTTTGCTACTAACCTTCTTTCTATCAGTAGTATCACTAAAAGCATGAACTGTAGTGTCACTTTTTTCCCTACTCATTGTGTCTTTCAGGACTTGGAGACGAGGAGGATGATTGGCAGTGGTCGTGAGGATGGTGGTCTCTACCTTCTGGATATGTCGGCCCCCTCAGTTGGAAGGAAGAAGGGAAGCTTTCAAGATTTCACCAGGTCCAGTTCTTGTTGTTGGACTAGAAGCGGCTAATTAATCCGCATCTGTTGGGGGAAGGACTGCTATTGCATCTTTTATCGGACGGACTACTTCTGTAGATTGAGAGATGGAAATGCCTAATCAAATAGCCAAGAATCATCGATTTCGGAGGGAAAGAACCCAGCTCCAGGGAAAGACTTTTGAGTGCCTTTCTATCTTTGTGTAATATGTTAGGTAATAAGGCTAGGACAAGGTTAAGTCCAATAAGTTGAATGTGGCATAAGTTATTGATTCATCACCGAGTGTGAGATTAGACCTATGTAGCGTTCTCTCCAGTCTTTCCCTCTTCTCCTCTCCTTTATGGGCATATCACTAGGTAGGAAATTCTACTTATAGTGAGTAGTGAGTCTATTGATACCATAATGGTAGTTGACATATAAAGATATGGATCTTATCTTACCCCGGTTCTTGCTGTCCATGGTTTGCTATCCATCCCTTCTTTTCACCCCTTGAACTGTGAAGTCAAATCAATAGGAAAGCCATCCTCAGATCAGTTGCTAGACTAGCTGATTGATCACAGTCCGTAGGCCTCACATTCGATTGATAGGTCTCAACGGCTCTGATAGCACTTTTTTCAGCGGGGAATAAAGGAAGTTTAGTTAGAACCGGATCTCCGCAGCCCCCTCTTCTTAGTTGCCCCAGTATGGAAGGATAGAAATGATCAAAATAAGGAAGAAGGTATGAAATCACTAAAGGAAAGTATATTAAAGTTGTCCCACGTATCCATATAAAAACTATAGGGGAGGAAGTCTGGACAGCTGTTTAAAGAAACGGATCCGTAAAGTACCTATTCTGTGCTAGCTTTCTAGTCTTCGATTACCGGTTAAGCAGCGGGTGTACTCGAGCTCGGTAAGCCAAGAAAGAAGGTAGGTGGGCTAAGAGCATCAGGCTACGTAACGCTAGGAGCTTTCTTCTTCCCCTTGTTAGCTGTTACGGTTTCAGTTCAGTCTATGGTCCCCCCACCGAAAGTAAGATATCACTGTCTTCCCTTCCTCGGGAGTGAATCAGGGACTTGCCATGTATACGAGTAAAACGAAGGCACAGGCCATTGTTATGTATCAATTTATTCGTTTTCTTACCCCTGATGATAGATCCTATTTAAGTTGTTCACTTTCTTTAACTTTAATGTAGTTAACATTTTCTAGGACGCCTTCACTTCAAAGTAAAAGAATAAGACCACCCATGCGAGAATAATAAGACGCCTTGCCTAACCTTCTGGGTAAATTTAGCCACTAGAAATCGATTCCTTGGCTCCGGGAATAGGAAGACTTCAACTTGATTGGCATAAAAGCTGATTCAGTATAAGACTAAGGCGTGCGTACCACTTACAGCACTAAGAACACAGACTACGGATAACTTCTTGGGATTTCTCTTTTTTCTGACACCTCCGGTAAAGGAAGAATCCGTCACAGGCTTCCTTACACCATTCATAATAATCAGCATCCGTCTTATAGTTAATAGTTGAGTAGAGGATCTCTTTATAACCAGCAGCATAGTCAAAGGTCTTACCTCCCTCTCTCGCGATCGAAGGAAGAGTCAATCTCTCAATGAGAGAATTCCCCCTTCCCCCGGCTACGGCTATAGAGTTGGATGCTTCCTGTTCCCGGTCATCGCCTTTCGCCTCTTTCCTTCAAAGAGCAGATTTCTGTTTAAACAGATCTATCTTATCAAACATCATTTCCCGAGCCGGGCATGAGCTACTCCCATCTAGCCAATCTCGATTTGGGATCTTAGCTGCTGCCCTTATTCCTCCATTTGCTACTGGGTATGAACTCAATTAATACAGAAGTTCTTTCCTTCCCCGGACTTCTTCCTTCTAGGCTTCTAGTAGCCCCAACCTTGAGCAATCGCATCCAATCCTGTCTTTTTGGTTGAAAGGTCAAATCAATCCAGGACTGGCTATCGAGAAGCAAACCTGCCGCCTTCACTCTCCGTTCTTTCTGAAAGAGAATGCCTTGTTAGCAATTGAATCATCATCGGTTGGAAAAGAAGGGCCTTCTTTGGTTGTGGCGGTTCGAATCCCATTCGTGAGCAGGCAGTGATCTTTAGCTGGTCATGGCCTGAAATAAATCGTAAGTAACTTAGCGCAGGCTTGAAATAAGAAAATGAAATACGAACGATGGAATGGCATAGTTGTTATGAAGATGAATTTGTCTCATCAATTAGAATTAATAATTTGAATTGTGTATTGTGAATATAAAGATAGTTTATTTGAATTTGATCTCTTTCCATACTTCACAAACAGCAGCTAGCTCAGGACTCCATTTGCTAGCCTGACGGATAATTTCATTACCCTCGCGAGCAAGATCACGTCCCTCATTACGAGCTTGTACACAT